AAAACTAACTAATTAAAAGTCATTGGTGCTTTAATTTAATCCCCGGCATAATTTACTACCGGCTTAAAAATTAACTGATATTTATGACAAGGTGTCTAGTAGATTAACAAGATTATTATACGAAAAAAACCAACCCAAACAAACAAATAATGCATACATTGGTTTTTGAAAATATTAACAATATAGCTCGATAATCTGTCGATAAGCCAATTGCATAATTAATTTGGAAAAGGTGTTTGGTTAACACTTAAAATCCTTTTGAGAGCTTAAACCAATCTCGAGTTTAACGGACTATAAAATGACTTGAGGCTAACTTTGTCTGTCCAAAAATAACACGGCACATAAACACACCCAGCTCTCATTTAGCCAGTAACTAAATAAATAATAGCACTAAGTATTGAAGCCGCAGTTAAATATTTACAAAGTAGAATTTGAAAGCAACAATAAACTTGTTTATCTATATGGGCCGTAGGTGCTCCCGCCTGCATCCTTACCAGGAACACGGCCAGAAAGACACAACAACAACCAAGAGGAAGAAGGTGCCAACTTGCTGAAATATTTAAAATGCGGTCTCCGAGCAGGCGACAGACCCAAGAACTTTTGCAAAACGTTTAGTGTCTGCTAAATAAATACACGACCAGCTGTCTTGCAGTTTTACTCTAAACACGCCCGGAACAGACACACACACACACACACACTTGGGTCACCTATGGCTGTTTTTTTGGCCACTGTGCATTGTAAATTTGGGGAACGACAGCAAAATGTTGTCGTCGTTTTATTTTCGGTTCCGCTGGCATTTACTTTTGTATTGCGGCGCACCTGAGCCCAGGCCCAGCGGCGATGGACACGTGTGTGTGTGTGGTTGTGTTTGTGTGTGTGGGTGAGCGGCAAAAAAGCGTCAATTCAGCGTCCAAAATGTTTTTCGTTCATGCCGCTTATTGCGTGTTCCATGTCGTTTATGTTGTTGTTCCTTTTGTGCTTTCCTGTTGTTATTCTCTTGCGGGTATAATTCTTTTGTCATGAAATTCGCAACCTCCTAATTTATATACATTCTTAATCAGTATCTACATATGATACGATCGATTCATTCATTTCTCTTATTGAGAACATTTCGGTATGGTATAGTTTCGTTCTGCTCCTTAAACTTAGTACAAATATTGGTCTACAAAACATAGAGCTCTATAGAAAAAACTTGGCATTCACTATTCATTTAAAAGATCTTCAAATCACTATCAATTCGGGCTAAAATATCAAATTGTTCCATTAGGAAAGGTTGGCAAAAAATAAGACAAGGGTATTTATCGGCCTGCCAATGAAGGCCGTGCTCTCTGTTGCTCTTGTCTTTATACGCCGCATTACGGCGCGTGTTTTCCGGATCCGGCTTTTGTTTGTGCTGCTTGTGGCCCAGCTGTGAATAAGCAACAAGACTAACAACAACACACTTAACATTGTACTTAAATGTCTCGCCCTGCGGCGGTGTTGTTGTGGTGCGAATGAAATTACGGCCGCGCTTAAAGCCGAAAATCCAATTAGAAAAAGCGCTGCGCCGTTTTAATCACAGATGTTTTTTTCCCCTTTTGTTTACTGCCAACATCCGGCTAACACGCACCAACACAAATGCAATTGTGAAGGCTCATAAAACCTACTAGTTATCGTCTCTTTAATGCGATTCTTAACATTTAAGCATACTTCACACTCATTTAAAAATACATTGTAAGTTGTTTCATAAAGAAGAAGGGCTTTAAGTTAGCAGCGGCTTACCAAAATTTAAATATTTTCTTTTGGTTTTTAAATCATGCTTTTCAATATAATTCGTGATTAATAAATTTATTGATATACTTACAAAAATATTATTTATTAAAACAAAAAGCTTCAGCTCTGGACAGGTCTGCTTGAAAATCTAATGCAACTTATCGCTACGCATATGTTTATACAATTTTCTGTTAAGCTGTTTCAAAAGCATCTAAATATATGATAAAGAAATAATCTTCTTTGTAATGTATAATAAATACTGAAATCGTAAACCCAAGATTACCGTTGGCAGCATCAATTACTGTTTATATTTTGCAGTATTTTAACATTAAACTCAAAGACCTAAGCATATTTACATACTAATGTCTCCCGTAATGAGCAGCTTAATATTTACTTGATATAATAACAGACAATTTCGAGTTATTGTCAAAGTTAACCATACGCAACGTTAGCCGAATCATAAGCTCAAAAGGCATTCAACATGACAAAGCTTTGCCTGCAGTAAACAAAAATTAGTGAGCAATGATTATGCAAGTGAAATGAGGCCAAAATTGCAATTGGCCTGGCAGTAAAACAAATTGCGACCTCAAGGGCATTAGGCCAAATGCTCACTGCGTTTGTCCTAAGTGCTTTGTATCTATGTTTGTGTGTGTATGTGTGTGTGTGCGTTTGTATTGTGGTAAATGAGTGTGTTTTATGCACAAAGCAAATGCTCAAATTGCCAGAAAGGAAAACAAGCCAAAGCCGCAGCATTTTGGCAAATGCGAATACGACAAGAAAATATCCTTTTAAACCCCATCGGCTTTCGATTTTCGTCCTGTTTGTGTGTGTGTGTGTGGGCTCTACATGTGTGCGTGATATTTGTGCTGATTTGCATATGCTATGCCAAAAAGCGATGTTGCACTCGCTTAAGCTAAACACTGGCTATATAATTTGCTTCGACCCGAAATTGTTGTTGTTTTTGGTTGTTTGTTATCGTTGTTAAAATTGTGCAATATGTTGGCTGCACATTTTTAAACTAGGCCAACACCAGCCAACTGCTCGTCCATTGCTGTTGCCGTTGTGAATGCCAACTTTGAATAATGATGAAGTTCTAACTGTCGGTATGCTCGGTGCGGTTGCATGTGGCCAGGTGTGAAATTGTAGTCAAATATAATCGGAAGGTTGTTGTTTAAAAACGTAAAGAAAATGTTGTCGGAAGTTATGTGTTGTAACAAGCAGCAGTCAAACGAGGACGCATTAAATTATAGTAAATAAGTTTTGAGATAAGTTATATACGATTTCGCAAAATATCATGCTAAAAACTCAAAGTAATCACTTAATTAAAAACAGTTTGCAGCCACATTAGGATTTTAGTGTATATAAAAAAGCCACAAAAAAGATTCTACCAACTAGATAGTATTGGACAACGTATGTTTTCGAGAAATGCATTAGTCGCTATCCAAGATAATTGCATATAGTATACAAGATAGTTGCATATGAAGTAGTATGTACTTTGACACCCATTTATTTATGAGAAATTCAGAGTAACATCAAGGACATCACGGTGACAGTGTACCACATCAGAGTGGAAGTTGAAAAGTAGACCACACATACAGTTCGGAGTGACCTTCTCAGTAGCGTGTTCATTCCGGTTTTCTTGGACAACAACACGTCAACTGGCTTTTCATGCGATTTCGCAAGCTTTGACTTGTGAACCGCGTCTAATTAGCCTTTGCCGCCCATTGTTGAGTGCACAGGAAAAGGCATGTGAGACACTATGCTTGTGAGACACGCCCTTTACCGTGTTGTCGAGCACCATAATTAAGCTCAACGGCAATTTCCCACGAAAGCATCAGAGGTGTCGGCGGCGGCGGAGGCCGTCTGGTTGGTTTTGAATTCAGGAGATGGTGGGTTTGTCCTCGTTGAATATGCGTCCTGATGACAGCCTCTAAGTTTTTAATGAGCAGCCTGCCAGTTCTGCCAGCGTGGGAGTCTTCCTGCACGCCTAGCAAACGATGGCTAAAAATTCTCAGTGGCTGTTACGACTTAATAGGGTTACACGTGCTAACAGCAGATCCTCAGACCCAGTCTGCCCGTCTCCTGGGGCTGAATGCCGCCTGTATCGCTCGAAGCTTGTGCGTTATTTATGAGCGTTGCGGATCTATCAGACCCACGATTAAATACCCGGTGGGCGTACTCTGGAGGCGGGGCTATAAACTTTACATAGCCATGCGGGCCTGCCATCATTCGCAGGCAACTTTAAGCTAACACCACGTAACTTTGTGTGTGTGTGTGTGTTGTGCGTTGCCAAGTGACATATTTTTTCTTACACTGGAAAATATATTGCGTAACGGTAACGCGAAAGTTTTCATTACGCCCGGGAAGTTGTGCAAACTGTAATTCCAGCATGTAGTTTGGTTTGGGTGTAAAGTTGTTGATTCGCCGACAACGTGCGAGGTCGAGCCCCGAGGATGCAGGGTGCCAGGCGTGAGAAGGAGGAGCTGACGCCAACTGTCAAGTGTTGTGCATGAGAATTTCGGCAAGTGTAGCCATGATTAATGAGCTTGCGATGTGTAAGCAGGTTAACAAGATAGCACTTAGTCAAACGACTCACAACTGTGTCACGGCTTGGGCTAATAATGACCAAGTAGGATAACATATGATGTTCTGAAGTTCTTCTCTCGAGAGCGTCTGACTGTGCATAATTGAGAAACTAAGATGTAGTTTTTATGTGACGCATTTCCTGAAATTAAATTGAGTGCAACGAAGTAGAGAACGTCGCGTGTCGGATTTATATACACCACTACACGAACAATTGTACCTTAGAATATATATAGATATTGATACCTATGCTATCGATGTGATAATATAGTACAATTAGTATGTGTGAGGGTTTGCCATTGAAAGAAGCGCAGTAAAAATATACTACATGATCTCTCATGAAATGATTAAAAAATAAAAATATAATTATATGATTTCTATAAAATTTAAAACTTTGCCATGCTTATGCTAGGTCACGAAATAATATACAACACGCGCTTCACGCTTCATAAAAGTTGCATTGTTCTTCCTTTTATTTCTAATTTTCTTAAGATGCTGTCTTCCATGTCACCCTCAGTACTATACTATAGTTCAAGCTTTATGTCCTTTGTACCCTGCGACTCTTTGACTTGGTCAAACTAAATATTTGCTAACCAAACTAATGTCATCGTTGGCTTCAAATAGTCAGTTTACAGTTTAAAAGCTTTAAGTCAGCATTCACGTACCTTTGTCGTTCGGATCGAATTCAGCCTCGAGCTCTGCTTTGGTGGGCTCCGCAGAGGAGGAGGCTGCCTCGGCGGCGGCATTGGCGGCGGCGGAGATGGCGCTGCCATTGTTGGTTGTAGTTTTGGTTTCCGATTTTTTCATGGTTTCTCTCACTTTGTGGCCTCGAAATACGGCTTGAATTTTTGTTGCGGCTTTTGCTGTAATAAAATGTACAAAATCACAAAGAAATTATAGCAAAGTGTCATTCATTATGGACAAGCTTAAGTAAAAAGTTTTGATTTTTAATAAAAAGTGGCACAAGTTAATGTGAAATCTCTGTGACAGCTTTTTTTGGCACTTGACGTATTTCTTATATTTATTTTTTGCTTTGTAATAACTTTCGCTCTTTCAAGTTCTGCAAAGCAATTAACTTTCTACCAGCGGAAAGCTCACAGAAAAATCGATCGATTTCGCATTGAACCCGCAAAATGTTGGAACATTTTGGGCTCCTTGCCAGCAGCGCAGCTCAGCACAAGAGCTTTGCTAATATTCTTGAAGCGTAACTTCTGTGCGTGTCAGAGTTTTGGGCGGGGAAAATTCTATTCCAGCGGTTGTTGCACAATAAAATACCCTGTAAAGGAGCTGTGCGTAAAAAGTGGAGCTTACAATTTGGCATTTCAGCCTAAAAATTTGATCAAAATGTAAATTCAATGAGAAATTTGTCAGTATGCAGCAGTCTGTACGTTCTGTTTGCGCTATATAAGCCACATAACATTGCTTAGACATTGGGTACAAAATTTTTGTGGACGGGTAGACGAAGCCGCTTTTGGCCGGGTCAGCATTCATTTTTATGGCATTTTTCACGCAGATACCAAAATGGTTGGCCTTGAATAAGTTATAATAAATTGACACGTAAGGCCTTTTGGCCAGCACTATCAGTGAGAGCAGAAACAGTTTTGTGGCTTGAAAAATGGTGTTGTATTGTGCATTTTTGCAAGGCTGCTTCGTTGAGCTGTGGCCGCAGTGTTGCCCAACTCAGGTGCTCAGGTGGGCGGTGGTCGGTGGGCAAGGTGTGGCAGGTGAAACAGCCTGGCCACATTTTGCTGATGGTTTTGCCGGTGTCAAGTGGCGAGCCATACAGCTGCCCAAAGTGCTCGGGCCAAGGCATTAAATCATTCAGTGGCATTGGATTCAAGTTTTTGTTGCATACTCTGGGGCTGAAGTTTGTGCCTGGCAGTTAATCAATAAACAATTAAAATAATCTAGTTTTTAAAGCAACTTTTTTGGGCTGTTTATATTTATAAATATTTTGGCCATTTAATTAAATGGTGTCGAATCTTTAATTTATGTGCAATCAGCTTCCCACGTTGAAGAATTTGCATTAATTTGGGATTTTTGCCGCATTTATAATTTTTGATTATTATATTTTATTCAACAATTTTGTGAGCTACTAATTGGATTTGCAGTTTGCTCTAGCTTGCAATTAAAATAAAATAGTTGCGAACATGGGGACCACACATGGCATTCATTATTTATGCATATTGGCATATTTAACACTAAATTTATGGGAATGTCAAAAATGCTTCGATGCCAAAAGCCTGACGCTCTGTATGAGTCGCATTTAAGTTTGCTGCCATTGTTTCATTTAATAGCCCCGCTTTTAGTGCAGTCATAAAACTGACTTATGCAAGGTTATTAAATAAATTTTGCATGCGGCTCATTAAACCTGACAAACCAAAATGGGCCGAAACCAAATGGCAAAAACGTTGTGCACTCGAGTGTTAAATAAAATTAATTATCACACCGCGATGCACAGGTAACACATTCACACCGGCGTGAGCAGGCTAAAGCCAGAATGCCAAGAGCCGCAAATATTAAGAACCGTAGAATGGCATATTAAGTTTGCATGCCATCCAATAAAATAATTTTTTGGCACGCCGTATGACGGGGCGTATGTGCGAATTGTCGGCCGTAGCAAAAAAGCTCATCAACGTCAAACATATTTGATACTTAATTAATGCATTATACGGCTGTCAGCTATTGCCAGACTCTGCCAAGTGGTCTTTGGGGCTAACGAAAATCATTTCCGTTTCCTGCCGCCACAAAGCAGCTGTTTCTGATAGAATTTGTTAAGTTTTACTTGAGCGTGATGGCGTGAGCTTCTTGGGCTTATTGTTGTTGTTGTTGGGTTTCCCATCCTCATTTCTGGACGTTGTTTTTTAGCTGGGGCAAACGGCCCGTAATTGTCCAAGCCAACTTATTTACGTAATTAAAATTCATTAGCTAACGTTTTCCGTGGCGTCTTTCTGCTGGTGGTATTCTTGTCGGGCCAACTGGGGAATGTCTATGGCAGCAGCCTCTTATAGTTTGTTTTCTTCTCCTTACCAAAGATTTTGCTTTCATTAGTGCATTCGAGCAATGTGCGCGGGCGTTTTAATACCTAATTATATAAGCGGAGTATTCTGCTTTGCTATGAAATAAAAACGAAATGATTTAAAATGCAGTTTCTAAATGAGATTCTATGTCTGCTATGGGTACACAAATCAAGGTGATTAATGCAAACCCGGTCGTAGGAAATTATCCGCAGGAGCATATTTATTTAAGAATAATACAGCTCTTGCAGCTGGAACAAACTTCCGTCTAATTAGCTGGATATCTTCTTAAGAGTATCTTACATAGTTAAATTTTACTAGTTTCTTTAATTCGATTAATCTATATATTCTTCTCCAGAATAAACATGTACTATTTTAGTCATTTGACATCTGATGAATTTCTCAAACCCTGTTTTATATTTAAGACATATTCTTGATATGAGCTGAGCTTAGGCTAAAAATAAAATGCATTTGAATATAGATATGATATTTATAGTCCACATTGATTCTTAAAGTTTGTTGCCTTTGTCACATACGACCTTATCTGTGCACTGTTTGTTGCCCTTTGACAATTCTAATCCTGTTCCCGAGCCTGCAATCGTTGCTAAGGCTCCTTACGTTGGCATTTTACGGGCAATTTCAGAGAACACATTTCGCTTAAGCTCATCCTCGGGGCACAGGTTACACAAATGACGTGCAATTTATTACTTTAATTAAACTGTAGACGTTGGGGCTCGCGTTGCATTTTTATTGTGATTTTACTTTAAAATAAAATTATTTACCCAGACGTTGCTTACAGCCCGCTGTGCTGCTTTGCTTAAAGTTCTATCCATTCTGCGCCCTGCCCGGTGTCAGGCTGCCTCAAAGGTACCTGGAGAATATGAGAACGAATGAGTTATGCAGGAGACAGGCGCAGGGCCAGCTGTTTCCTGCTGCTGTTCGTGTTTCTCGCCGTTCGCAGTCCGTGGCCTTAGACCATAAACTGTAAGCTCGGTCGTGCATGCACCTTAATGACAGTTTTAAATAAATAAGCAGCCGCAGAAGCTGGCGCCCTTAGTCCCCAGCCCAACTGGCCAAGTTAGAGTCCACTCCCAAGAAGGCTGCACTTACACGACAAGTTACGTGGCAATGCCAATTGGCAAATGTTGAACATAATGTTTCCATACTTAATAATATCGCATATCGCATGCAAAGTTCATATTACATTTTTTTTAAGAGTTGCAATTGCAATACATATTTGCTATGTGCATATTTTATCAGTGAACAAAAGTAACTCAAATGCTCGCTCTCATGTTTTGGTCTGATTCAACTTCCACAAGCGAATGCATAGCTTGTTAAGCTTTTGTTATAAGTGCAGACTCTATTTGTTAGCGCACACAACATAAATATAAACAAAATAAAGACACGAGCGCGTGTTGAGCATGAACATATGAATATGAATCACGTGACGATAAACACGATTTTATCACAATTTGGTAGCGTGTTAATGTTTTTATGGTGCTGTTCTGCTGAACACGAACACTCACGAAATTCGATTATAACGACACGCGCCCAGCTCTGCTCAAAGCCCACGGACAAATATTGGCTCAACTGTAACAATGGCAAAACCAACAGAAGCAACCAAGTAATAACAAACTGCTGATTCCGCAACTATTGATTGCATTCGTGCCCGAAGGTTGATGAAGAAGCCACGCCTGCCGAGGTGCGAACAGGGAACGGGGTGAGGAACAACATTCCGACCCAGCGACATTTTCGCAAACTAAATCCAAAAATCCAGCCCATAAATTAGACAAATTCCTGGTGGCTGGTAGGTAGTTTGCCAAAGTATGACAAGTTGGCCTCATAAATATATGGCTCGGTTATTCATTTTGATAAAATTATCGCATTAATATGACATTCCCGTTAATGAAAGTGCATTAAAGCCAACGAGGTGTCATAAACCTTCGTGCCACAAGAAAATACACAAAACTCTTGTCCCTGATTCGAGCTACTCGAGATGCCCTTAAGTGAAACTTAATGGCATAAAGTTTTGCTCTCACTTTTCTTTGGCTTAGGTAATAGAGCACTGGGAGCTCAAATAGCTCTGAAGGGATCATATCAGGTATGTGACCTACTGATGGGAAGTGGTCACATAATAATACATACAGAGCTTCTTAAGAGATGTTGTATTGTCTTCTATCTTCATCATATTCGCTGAGACTTAAATATATGGTATATTAGCTATAAGGGCAAGCCTTTTTAAATTGCGGTTGTAAATTAAATGTTCAAACAAACTGTTTACTTTCCGTTTTTGTACACCAGCATCTGCATCAAATTATAGCTATTGTATAATAGACGAATAAATAACTGAATTTATTTCCAGAGGACACAATTAAGCAGCTTATCATCCATGACAAATAAAAGGCGGAACTCTGTGGGTGCGCCAAAGGCAAAGTGGCAATTAATAGAATTTATGTGGAGTAATTTGTATAGCCAGGCTCATTTTATTGCTCAGCTGGGTCAGCTCAAATTAAATGTACTCATTTAATGGATGGGGCGTAAATACACACACGACCAAAAGCCAAATGTGGCAAATATTAGATAACCCTCTTATATGGCCATAAGCATCAAAACCGCAACATCTCATAATATGCAAGATTTGCATAATTAAGTCCGACACGGTATTCAAAAGCCTTTAGTTGCATGCGGGCTCAAAATGCAAGATAAATGCTTATTTGTGGCCTGGCTTTGAAAATTGTTATTTTTAGCAGAACAATTAATCATTGGTTTATGTTGTTTTTTTGCATATACATTTATTTAGCACGTTGCCCATATAAATAATTTGTGATAAAACAGACCTTTGTTTA